CTTCCTTCCTTCCTTCCTTCTTCCTTCCTTTTTTAGGTTTTAAAAATAATGCTAAATGGTTCATGAACAGCCATCAAACAAACCTTGAAGTCGCATCCATACGATAGCCAATATGAAAAGTACAATAACTGCAATAGCAACAGCAATGACAGCTGCAAAAATGGTAGATGACACCCCATATAAAATGTTCCCAGCTTTTCCTGTATCACATGTTGAATGGTTTGAACTTGCTCCTGTTCTATTGACTTGAAACAAGAAAAGTTTGAGATTTATTTAATTTGTATATTTGTATTGACGATGGACTGAGTGGAATGAGTCATTATGAGAACCACCATCATAGTAAAATACCACAAAAACTTTACCTCAATCATTCTTACCACATACCTTTGGCAGAAGTTCCTATGTAGATAGTACCATTTACATAGTTCTTGTGAATTCGTAAGAAATACTGAATACGATACAAGGTAGATGATTTCAACCCGGCAATTGAACATGTTATTGAATCTTCATTGCTGGTGTTTGAAGAAGTCATCCAGTTGACACCATGGAATGATTGCATCACATATATCAAGCATGTCGCTATAGTGTTATGAGGTAAAACCAGGTTATTCCAGGTAACTGTTAGACTGTTATCTGTCACTATGATGTTGCTGATGATTGGAGGTGCTAAGAGGGAAAACGTATATATTTGAGTAAATCGACTGCCGATGATTACAAATCACTTAATTAAAAGGTGATAACAACTGTTATCAATTCAATTCAGTAAAGTATGGCTACTATGATAACGAGTTGGATGAAATTTTTGTGCTGCGTCTTTCTTTTTTCAGAACATAAAATTGTCTTTTAAAACACAAAGTATTTCTTCAATCATCGCGAATCGACAACGTGACTTACATTCGTAGCTTTGGCTGATGTATATAAAGGCAATTGTCAATGCTTAGTTATCAATCATGTTCAGTCACGAGGATCAGTTGTTTTAAGATTCCTATATAGTTTCATTGTAAAGTTTTAAACATTTTAGGGCATCATCGATCTATAACTGATAAGAGGAGATAAGAAGACGGATAAGATAAGAGGATCAGATGAGAGGACAGTCAATGGAAATCATCTAAAGACATTGAAAAAGTTAGGGGGGGGGGGTGGGAATGTCTTCTCTCCGTGTGCTACCATTTCCCAGTTCAATGTGTCTGTCCTCTTATTGATAATAGCTGTCAGCCAATCAGATTGCAAAGTTAATCTGTTATTGTGAAATAATACTTACAAATCACAGTGAGTTTTATCATGGTGCTTTTCACTTCACACTCATTACCAGTCTTAGCTCTGCATTCGTATGAACCTGAATCAGCATGTGTAGCAGATGGTATGGTATATACACCTTTACTGGATACTTGACCACCTCCAACTTTATGCCAAGTCACATTGATGTCTTCACCCTGAGCTTCAACATTACAATAGAGAGTGTGACTGGATCCTTTACGTATCTCCTGACTTGGAGTTGTGTTGACGATTATCGGTCTCACTTCGTTTATACAAACAAAAATTGCCAGGGTAAGAAAATATTTGATTAAAAAAGATATGAACGTTTAATATGAAATATTATGAAATAATTTAGGTACAACGTTTTGAACAGAGTATCAAACACGGAAAACTGTTTTGTATGTCTTTATTAATAATGTATACATTGACTTATGTTTTATCTAGCTAAAATTAAACGTTTTACTTTATAGCAACATATTGAAGCCAAACGGCAGAAAATTAAACTTAGTTTCATACCCAAGAGACTCTTACCCTTAGTGCTTATCGTCACCGATGCATTCTGTCCAGCTCCAGCAGTGTTCTTTGGTTCACACTTGTATGTGTTATTGCCTGCTTGTGGAACATTCAACTGATAGACTCCAGAAATGCTGGTATTCACAAGCTGATCATTCAAGTAGAAGCGATATTCATGTGCTGGTGGGTTGGCATTTGTTGTACATTGTAACGTAACTGTGTCATTCAGACAAGCCTCACTCTTTGTGCTGGTCAGGGTTGTCTGATGTGGTTTGTCTAGAAAAGGATGAGATATAATGAGGCGTTATCAAAAAATATAAGTATTGATAGTAACATTCCCAAAATATTTTGATAATGATATTTTGGGTGCTAGGGGAGGGAATCTTTGTAATCATGTTGGCTGTATAATAGTACTTTCTGGCGGATCTGAAAATAATTAATTCAGAATGCTAATGAAGAATTTGATTTGAAATCATACTCGTGATTACAACATTGAATGACTGAATATGCCGGAGAACAAGCTCACAACTTCATTGCACATTGCACATTGCACGCGCGGTATTAATCTTAGCTTTTATTTGTAATTTCCCAATTTTTATCACTCATGTCTTAATCAAGTAGAATTTATTCATTGATAAATATATTCATATCACATTTAATAGACAATTGTATAGAAAGACTTACAGTTTACAACAACATTTGCGTCAGCAGTGACATTGCTGCACTCATCGCCGTTGTTTGCTGTGCATCTGTAGGACCCCTCGTCTCCTCTCGTGACGTTACTTATGGTAAATGTCTCAGTACTGCCAACAATGCCTCCACCATCCTTGGTCCACATCACGTTAGGGGCAGGTACTCCAGAGACATTGCAAAATAATCTTAATGAACTTCCCTCCAAAAGAGTCGTGGAGAGAGGTGACGTAACTATTGCTGGCGCCACTAAGAATGTGAACAATAAAATAATAAAAATGATAACGCGCTATTAAAGATAGATGAATTGTAATAAATCTGCTTTGAAAAAGCTGTAGTTATAGCTAGTTAAAGCTATAGGAGATAATCAACTATTTAGCCGTCCTGTGAAAAACGTCTAATATGATAAACTTCAATCAG